TTCCTGTCGAGGTGCCGCGCTGGAAACGGATGTGAAGTCCGCGGTCAACCCCGTTCACGACTCAGAGCAGAGTGAGACCCAACAAGTTGCTTGCGAGCAACTAGAAGACCCGTTCGCTGGCAAGGGTTCAGCAAGCGAAGACGAGAGGAAGTCGTCGGGACGCAACGGTACTGCTGCTGGGGGCAGCGATACCAAGGGAAGGGAGTCCGTCATGGAGAAGATGTTCACGACGAGAATCACAGATGACACTGGCGTACAGACCAAGTTCATCACGAGAAAGAAACTGCGAAAGTTCCTGAGAATCAAGACCAAGGCGATCGATGAACCAGACTTCATGTTGGTTCTGACGAACGCAACAATCAAGAACGTCGCTCGATCCTTGGAGCGACGTGACCAGCCCGACAATGTCGGAACTGCAAAAGCTCAACGTTATCTGGAGACAGACTGGCAAAGTTTCCGGGCAAACCCTGCCGTTGACTTGCTGACGAAGTACAAGGACACGGTATTTCAACTTGAACTCCCTGAAGGTCTTCCGGAGAAGTGTAAAATCGAGCACAGGATCGACGTGAAAGATCCCAACCTTGCGATGTATCGGCAACAGTGGCGGCAGTCCCCTGAGCAACAACGTGAGATCGTGCTCTTGAAGACATGGTGAAGAAGAAACTTATCCGACCAAGCATCAGTTTACACGCCGCACCAACCTTCTGCGCCCGGAAACCAGTTGGATGGCGAATCGTTCACGATTATCGGTACTTGAACTCCAATACGATACGACAGAGTATACCGATGACGAGGAAAGAAGACATACGGGACGCCATGGCCGGAGGGTACTGGTTTTCTACGATGGATTTGATGTCCGCGTATTATCAAGTTCGTATGTGTGCGGAAGATATCAAGTTCACAGCGTTCCAGGCGCCAAACGGGCTCTGGGAGTATCTGGTGCTGCCCATGGGTGTCTGCAACGCGCCAGCGACGATGGATCCGTTGATATCGAAACTTTTTCGCGATCTGGAAAACACGAAGTCGTTCTACGATGACATCTACATCTTCACGAAGTCGCAGAAGATTGAAGATCACTTGGACGCTCTCCGCAAAACATTGGACATCTTGCGAGATAACAAGTTATATGTGAAGCTGTCCAAGTGCGTCTTCTACGCCGACGAGATTCCATGCCTTGGATATTTTGTTGGAAGAAACGGCGTGCGGATGGATCCAGATAAGGTGCAGACCATCAAGGACTGGCCAATACCAAGTACGCAAGAGGAGCTTCACAGCTTCCTCGGATTAACTGGATACGTCCAACGGTTCTGCCCAGACTACGCGAAGCTGACAGCAAGTATGTTTACCTTGCTCAAGAAGAAGTCCAAGAGCAATGCGAAGATTCGTTTCGACGAAGAGCAGTCGAAGAACTTCAAGGCACTGAAGAAGCGGTTGTGCAATCCACCAGTGTTGCATTTGCCCGACTTCAATCAGCCTATGCATTTGCGTACGGACGCTAGCAAGTTTGCAGTAGGAGGAGCCCTGTTCCAGGTTATCGATGGTGTTGAGCTACCCATTGCTTACACCAGTAGGAAGATGAAATCCGCAGAACTCAATTACCCGACGCAGCAGCAAGAACTTTTGGCAATTGTTCACGCGCTGGCAGCTTTCCGGATTTACTGCTTGGACAAGCCACAAATCGTGGAGACGGATCACAAGAGTCTTGAAGGTCTCTTTACTCAGAAGAAGGCGAATTGTCGACTTACGCGCTGGTATGATATTCTCGCGGAGTATCAGCCTACATTCTCATACCTCCCAGGTGCGAAGAACGGAATCGCAGACGCGCTTTGCCGAAGACCACACTTGCAGCCCGAAACGAAGTACTTCCATGACTTGAGTGTGACCAGTTTCAATGATGCGTCCTTTAGTTTGGCAGTCAGCGAGGTGACCATAGACAGCGAGTTGATAACCAAGATCAAAAAGACGTACACGAAAGATCTAGAAGCAAAAGCGATTTTCACGGCGATCCAGCGGCGCGCAGATAGCCAGCAGCCGAAAGCCGCGACAACAAAGGACACAGTATCGCTGCTATTTGGAAGACAACGGTTTGCTGTGGTACCAGACTCTATCCGACGATGAGCCACGTATCGTAGTGCCCAACGATGTGAAGTTGCGGCACGTGGTCACCGGTGAGTGTTACAATTCCAACTACGGAGGTCATCCAGGAGCGGAGCCTTGCTAGGAGGTGGTACTGGACCAAGATGTTGAAGTCAATCCAAGCGTACATTGCTGGCGGTGAGCCTTGTCGACGGAACTAACCAAGGCTAGCGAAGCCACCGGGACTGCTAGAACCACTGCGTGTTCCCGACGAACGGTGGAGATCGATTTCGATGGACTTCATCACCGACTTGCCACGAACAAAGCGAGAGGTAGATTCCATCTGGGTCGTCATCGACCGACTGACAAAGCGTTGTCACTTTGTGCCGACTACGAAGAAGGTAGATGCCGAAGGCGTTGCCCGTCTCTTCATCGACCATATCTGGAAACTTCATGGAATGCCAACAAGCATCGTATCCGACAAAGACAGGAAGTTCGTTTCGACGTTCTGGCAACACGTCTTCAAATCAACCGGAACAACGCTGAAGATGACAGTGGCGCATCGAGCTCAGGGAGACGGCCAGACGGAGCGGATGAACAGAACACTCGACGAACACCTGAGGTGCTGCGTTGGACCTGTTCAGACGACTGGGACATCCATCTTGCCAATGCTAAGTTTGCAGTAAACTCGACCGTGAACAGCAGTATCAAGATGGCTCCTTTTGAAGCTGACCTCGGATACATCCCTCTCAATCCTCTACAGCTCACAGCCGAGAGTCGTGGCAAGGTCCCAACAAGTCGACGCGGCGCTGAGTTCCACGAGCGACATGTAGCTCCTCTTCGTCAATGTCAGGAAGCACTGGCGGAAGCCCAAGAAAGAATGCGCGATGTGTAAGACCGAAACCGAGAGGAGCAAGTCTTCGAAGTTGGCGACCTAGTGTACTTAAGCACAAAACACTGGGATCGCAGACATACAGGGTTACCCAACTCAAGCAAGCTTGATCCGAAGTGGATAAGGCCCTATACGGTGGTGAAGTGGATCCACAGTCACGCGTACGAGCTGAACTTCCAAGCCTGGAATAAATTTCATCTAGTCTTCAACACCAGGTTTTTGAAGCCATACAAGAACGCCACTCGGATGTCGAGGCCCCATGATGTCGTTCTAGCCAACGGCACAGTTGGACAACTCATCCAAAGACTTCTCCGCAAGCGAACGCAAAAGCGACGAACCCAATTTCTTGTGGAGTGGGTGGGTGAGGAGAAACCCACTTGGAAGCCGATCGAGAATCTCTCACAGGTCCCAGATCTCATTGCAGACTTCTAAGCATCCAGGAGAAGGAAACGGCGAAAAAGGCAAAGTCAAGAGTAAAGGGGGCCCGAGAGCCTACGTGTATTCCCGCATTACATCCCCTACAACTTCTGCTACTTCTTCTTCTCGCGGCGAGCTTTCTTTCGATTCGGCCTGGACTTGCGTTTACCGCGGCGGCAACGGTACCCTGGATTCAGCTTCATCAATCCCATCCATTTGACCTTGTCGAGATACTCCAAGATCGTCAAAGGTTCCGGGGTCACAGGCGGTTCGACTCCATCCAGTACAGAGACAGCAGTGTCTGGACCCTTCGCGAGAACAACAACGTAGTGTCCGACGAGGCCATCACGAATACTCGTAAGATACACTCCGTCACGCAGTGTTTGGACAAACGTCTGGAACCGTTCCACATTCGTGTATGAAGCATCAAGTCGACTCTGGAAGAGAAGATCGTAATCCAACGGAAAATCGCTGTGCTGAAGAACGCGAAAGAACTCCGTAGCTTCCGCACAAGAAACTCCGTCGACAGTACCTGGATGATCACGCTCAAAGTCCGCCCATAGTTCAGTAGCCCTGGATGCAAGAACAGGGTCACCAAGGTGATAAAGCGCCGCGCGAAAAGCGTCCATGAAGCAGCCACCAGCAGGAGAACCCTGGTCACGACTCGCAAAATGCTTCTTGTAATAATTGGCGAATGTACCAGGGCGCAGATCTTCACACCACTGCATTACCTGATCGATACGGCGAGTGACTCGTTGGGCGAGTTGCTCCTCCCATACCCAGCTCAACTGAAGCGGCGTAATTTGCCATTCCACGAGAAAGCACCGATGCGGATATTCGCCGCGAACGTCGTGCAGCTTCTCAACGTTGACTGGAACGGAGTAATCCCAAGGTGCTGATGGATCCTAGTGATTGGCACGGCCGTTCGCAGGATGCTTCGCCGGGACAGGAGGCAATGCGTACGGGTGCCAGTCACCAGAGTCGGTACTACGCCTCAGGCGATTGAGTCCACCAACAGGCTCGGTCTCCTCATCGCTGTCATCATCGATCAGACCACTCGCTGATGGAGTGGGGGATGGCGGACGTGCCGCGCGCAGACCCTCCGAGTCGTCCTCCTCTGATTCTTCGCTTGAGCTGCCGAAGAGTGGACCACAATGCAGTTCCTTCAGGTGGTTTAAACTCGACACGCCAGACACGTCCGACGCCACCGAAGCGTCGTCCAGAGGTGATGATGGCGCGGTGTTCAACGGAGACGGCAAAGAACCAGCCGACAGAGCAGAAGTAGGCGAAGCCGCAGGAGAACCAACAGCCGACGGCGACGATGGAGGTGACGACGGTGGCGACGGTGAAGCGGGCTGCGTTACAGCCTGTGGTCGCTTTGCGGCCGTTTCCGACGATGGCCGGGCCAACGAGGCGCGTGCCAGCCGAGACTTAGTCGCACGGAGCCCAGCAGTAGACTGGAGCTCCACCAAGAGAGCACGAGAGGAAGCAGACGGGCGTAATGAAGCCATGATGACCGCCTCGGGCTGGAACCCACTCAATTCCAGTGAAGCCAGGTCCGAAGGCGAAGATGGCACCGGTTCGAGCGAGTCCCTGCTGAGACGGCCGACTTCGCCGTCCGCTGTATTTTTTCGAGAATGAAGACTATGAAGAGGCGGCGGTTGCTAGAGGGAGGGTGAGTGTATCTGATTGGGTGATATTACTATATTATTGCAATGGGCGGTTAGTACTATGGAATGTATAAGCATAGTATTTAATATACAAGCAGATGTAGGACGGCTGTGGAAGCTTCTAGAAGCTTCCATCCGTCTGAACTGGGGCGGCACTTTTCTTTTGGCGCGCTCTCCTTTAAGCTCCCCTGACTTCGATAAATAAGTCCAATTACCGGAAATATTGCGCGTACAGCATCCGTCGGAAACCTTAACATGACTATTTGTGAGGCACCATTACAGCGAAGGTCGAAGAGAGGTGTCCCGAAGGTCGCTCCAGGGCAGCGCCTTTCTACACACACACTGCAATCCAGTGCGAAGAAACCCGGTTTGGCTCGGAGTTCAAACAGGACCCCCCACTAAGTACGAGCGATTTGCGTATTGTCTACACGCAGACTGCGGCCCGCTGCGTAGAAAGCGTGCCCAAGGCGGCTACGGAGTGTCTGCTACCACAGGTGAAAGACATCTGCTTTTCTCTACCTGTGGCCTGACCTGTCAGGTTTTTGCCACTTCATGTCACAGGTGGAAAAAATATTTGTGAGTGCATAAATTACAGAACCTTCACAAATTAATACTATTTAGTGGCTCTGATGAAGATGGCCAGTTTCGAACCAATATGCCCCCAAGTCCGAGGGGCGCAGGTCGACGTCTTCTCGCAGTTGATCCTCTGACGGAGTCGGCAGGGGTAAATGCTAATGGGGATTGCGTGGGATATAACAGCCAGTTGCTCGTGTCAAGAAATGATGCGAAGAAACGTCGAATAGATGACGATAATGCCGACAGTGAGTGGAGCAAAGAGGAAAGTGAATCGTCGGCTTCAGAAGAGGAAAGCGCGGGCTTTGCTGGCTCCGGTATCGTTGGATCTACGCCACTAGTGGAATGTCCAGGTCTAAGTACTACTATCTTCGGCACTTGGAAAGCTTTCTCGGAGTACTTTTGAGACGTACGCTTCGGACACGTATCAGCCATTCCGGTAAGCTAGTTGTTGTTTTTTAGCAGTAATCTCGCTGTGTGCCCACTACTTCGGCTTACACGTTAGCGCACGTGTATGAGGAAGCGTAGTTTGCTTAAACTTAGATTAACTATACTTACGTCTCGTAAGTATAAATTTACTTAAATAAGAAAGCAAAAGCCGATTTACCGTAAAATTGAGAACTGTTATTTATGTTTATGTTTTGTGTTTGGGTTTCCCCCTAAAGTGATATTCTAAATGAAAGGTATTTGCCAACGAGTGGTTGGCAGAATCCTGCTAAGCTAATTGGTTGAAAGAGATCGCCTTTCAACCAATAGGAAGTCTAAATGCACACAGACCAGTGGTCTGTCAAATGTAACCATTAGTGTATCTCACACCAAGGTAGAACCCATTGTCGTAATCAAGTGGCTACATGTAGCCACTTGCGTGTAACCCCGTTACACCATCCCCCCGTTAAGATAAGACATACTAGTCTGAACACGTCACTCAAGTATTGACAAGACTGTCAATTCTCAGGGAGAACCCAAGCTCATTTCACGATGAGCTCGCCAAAGATGACACCAGCAAAAGAGTCTGCACCTGCAGACACTGCCACGTCCGTGCCTGCCTCTGCAGGCACCACCACTCCCGCGTCTACGCATGTAGACGCGCCCGCGACAGAAGAGAAACTTTCTGTCGCTCAATATCACCTTCTGCAACAGCAGAAACGTACCCAGGACACAGCTGACACACTGTCAGCTTTCATGCATGGCTCGTCGGTGCTGAACACCGACGGCAGTATCCCCATCGACTATGGGTCTGACATCGAGGATGTCCCCCATGGAGGAGGACGAGGACGCCTCCTGCTCGGCTGCCGAGTCTAAGGCGGCCGAAACAACGCCCGATCCACTCACTGGATCGCGGTGAACACGTGATGAAGATCCGGGCGCTTCAAGTTCGAAGCGTCCGCGTACTGGAGAAGAGGCACAGCAGCCACCAGTGCCCGTGACGCCCTCTTCTCGTTCTCGCACTGCAAGTGATGTTGCAGTGCGCCCTGCTGGATGCCTTCTGCAATCCGAGATCGCTGACAGGTTCGGCGTGACCTCGCCGCCGAACCCGAGACCCTTGTATGTTTGCAGTGCCATCAGCGGTGACGCTGAAGCTGCCAACATGCACTTTGATCCGTCTACGAATAAAAGGCGTGATTACTACATCGGACTCTTTTATACGCCTTGCTAGATGACAGCGAGGAACGCAGTTACGCGTTAACAGCAGCTTTGGACTACAAAGACGAAAGTGTCCAAGATGGTGTTTAGATTGTCCTTCCGCTTGTATTCTTTGAGGACACTCTCGAACTTTTCCCAAGATTCTATAGGCTTCGATGGAAAAGGGGGGACGACGTCTGTAATTTCGTCTTGCTCCAAGACCATCGAGTGCAGCTCTTCAATGTGCTTGCTCGAGCATTTCCTTGGCATATATTCCAGCCGTTCTGATTTATCATCATCTCCGCAGGCGCTATCATCCGACTGGTAATAGATTTCCTCAACCTTTCGCTTCTTTCTGGTAGTTAAAACCTCCTTCTTGTGTTCTACATGAATAACCACAAATATTCAATGGGCAGAGTTTTGTTAAAGCAACCACTACCGTAAGGCAACCTTACGGTAAATACATAAACCATTCGTACCGGACTTCGAGCTGATCCCTTCCATCTCTTCCTTGACTGAGTTCTGCATCATATTGACTGCTCCCTTCCCAGCTTTGGCTGTTTCCGCATCCTTATCAATTGTGGCAGCGGGTTCTTTCTTGCGGTACTCTTTACACAACACACAATGTATTAAAACTTAGCAAATATATCAACTGAAATGAAAAGCCAAAATCTTACCCATGCGCGCGGCAGATTGCGCATCCCAGCAATCAGATAAAAAAAAAACTTCCTCGTCTTCTTCGCCAGGAAGATAGTCGCCATCGCTGGTATCATTCTTCTCGATGCCAAGTGTAATCAGCATGTAATTCAGGTCGACATTTTGATCCCGCCGCCGCCGCCCTTAAATGCATAAATATAAACTGTAAAATATTTCGTCAACTGTTCCTGCATACGAGAATACTCCTACCATGCGCAGCCGGCCTCTCCATTTCAAACGTGTATCGCTTTCTCTGGCCTCTTGGCCTCTCCCCACCCCAGCAGCTTGTCTTCGTGCCTCTGCCTTCAGTAGGTTTCCCCGCTTTTTCGTAAATGAGCGGCTCTGGTTACTCGTACTTAAGTGAAACATTTTTTAATACGCACCTAAGAGAGAAACTGAAAATTAAAACATTATTTTACGTCTGGAAATTTTGAATTTTGTTAACGCAACCATAGAGGTCTAAAGTAACCATAAATGTCACGTATTATGGTTGCCGTAACGACTCCGCCAGTGCAGACTGCGGCCCGCATCCAAGCAAATATTATTACGACCCAAAATTTGACTTTTTTGAGTTGGTTCCGAATAACCCAAATAAACCTTGCAGTTGGATGGCATTCAGACGGAAACCCCCATTAAAATTTTAATGTTTTTTTATCTGAATGCCATCGCGGCCAATCACGGAAGAGCAACGTCTTTTGTAAACTTAAAGTTTAACGAATTTTAACATATTTCAGTACTTATGTAACACATGAAAAAAAGTTTTGTTTGGAAAAATATTGCGACAAAAGCGCTTTCTATGCGGGAATCGCGAATAGTAAATGTCAGTACAAATTGCCCGACATCGTTACCCAGCCCATGGTCCGAAAGCATACTAAATCGTCATACACCTATTCCATTCCGCATCCTTCTCTCCCGACGCAGACTCAGAAAATCTGCCGACGCTCAGCGGACGATCACTCGATTATCCTTCCCCTTCCAGCACCATGTCGGCCATGAACCTCAGCCGCGAGCAGCAGAACGAACTCCTCTTCGTAGGGTTCAACCAGGACAGTGGTGCGTTTGCAGTGCGTCTCTCTAAAAGAATTTCCAACTGAGCTTCTATGTCTTCTTCGATAGGCTGCTTTGCCTGCGGAACCGATTCGGGCTTTAAGATCTTCAACTGCGACCCGTTCAAGGAGACGTTCCACCGAGGTGCGCATCCTCATACGACTAAATAATTGATCTCTGTAGTCTCAGTCCTATATTCCTATGCAGACTTCTCGAATGGCGGCATCGGCATCGTGGAGATGCTCTTTCGCTGCAACATTCTGGCCATCGTGGGCGGCGGACGCAATCCAAGATACCCTCCTAACAAGGTACCGATTTGCCGATGCCGTATTGAGAGGAAACTGCTGTGCTGATTAGACTTGGTGGCATTGTGCATCACTAGGTTATGATCTGGGACGACCACCAGAGCCGCAACATCGGAGAACTCAGCTTCCGCAGCGAAGTGAAGGCTGTCAAGCTGCGTCGCGACCGGTACGGTATACAACGATTAGGTTGCAGCGACAAAATGTATCCTAACGGGATACGTTTTGTGTTTTAGTGTGGTGGTGGTGCTGCAAAACAAGATCTACGTCTACAACTTCTGTACGTTGTTGCCTACTTACGATTTATATAAGTATTGCACGGCTTTCGCTAACTTTTCTTCCACTTCCAGCGGATCTGAAACTGGTGGATCACATCGAGACCATCGCAAACCCCAAAGGTCTGTGCGCGCTGTGCCCCAATCCGTCTAACACGGTCTTGGCCTGCCCTGGCGTGACGCGCGGTACTGTCCGCATTGAGTTGTACGACCTGCGGAAAACTACGCTCATCACTGCTCACGAAGCCGAGCTGTCACAGGTACGTCTATCGCTATAATTGTTTGCATTCAAAGAGCTCATTTATGTATTTGCAGATATGCTTAAACCTTGACGGCACGCGTCTGGCGACGGCATCAGACAAGGGAACGCTCATCCGTATCTTTGATACCCAGAGCGGTCAGATCACCCAGGAGTTGCGGTGAGTGGTGCATTTAGTCAAACGAGTGAGCTCAATGAACGACGGCAATTGCTAATGTGGGCCTGAACGTCTAAATTTTACAGTCGTGGAGCGGATCGTGCAGAGATCTACAGCATTTGCTTCAGCCCGACTGCACCTTTGCTTGCGTGTTCGAGTGACAAGGGTACAGTGCACGTATTCTCGCTGACGGCTGAGGGTTCTGGTCAGAGTTTCTCCTCTGACCCGACCACGATGGGAAATGTTCCTTCGCAAAGTATTCCGACGCACTACTCGGCTGGAACTGCTCCGCGTAGCGGAGAGGAAGACGGCACTGAGAACTCCAAGTCCAGGTACAACTGCTATTGCGAACTAATCTTGAAATTTTGGTGGGGTTCTAAGCAATTTTTTTCTTTCTACGTGACATTTTGCCTACAGTTTGTCGTTCATGCGGGGACTACTTCCTAAGTATTTCAGCTCAGAGTGGAGTTTCGCACAGTTCCGCGTACCGGAGACCCGAACGATCTGTGCATTTGGTACGGAGAAGAACACCATTGTCGGTACGTGCCAAGCTTTCTATACTACTAGAAGCTATCCATTCCCGACTCATGTTTTTCTTTTGCGTACGATCAGTTGTGGGAGCGGATGGGTCATTCTACAAGGCAGTCTTCGATGCCAACGGCGAATGCCAGAACACGTCTTACTCCAAGTTCATTCAGTCCGATGAGGATGAATAGACTCGTCAATGCTGACGTTACTATGCTCTCCAAACCAGTCGTCATGAAGACTGCTTCCATTTCTTGCGCAAAGGAGTTGCACGGAGGCTACGTAATCAACAGCGTACGCGTTGTTGACTTATGCTTGTATCATCTTTTATTGCGATTGCATTCCGTTGGCAGATTGATTACACTTTTCAGGTTATCAAATTTCAGTTCGGGTTTCAAATTCGCCACATTTTGATTCTTTTCGCAACTCGAATGTATACCCGAACAAATGATCTAGTCGCCGTGGATTGTGTACTTTTCTCGAACAACGTTAGGGTCATACTGTAGACACGAACCGATTGTCAGTTCTCAGGGTAATCACAAAGACTTCAGGCACTACATGTAGTACACCTACCACTTCCCACCGACTGGCTGGGAAAATGTGTTTGTTCTTCTCGTACCAATGCCGATCGACAACTTTGCCTGGGTGTGACTAAATACCAGAACAACACGTTAGACAACAGTTTGCATCAAAGACACGATGGACTGCACTTACCTCGTCTTTTTCGACACGTCGGTCCTGCACAAGGCGAACATCGTCGTGCACGTCAAAGTGGAAAAGAGGCCCACTTTTTCCACGTGCTTTGGTCACAATCAGATCGTAGAAGGAGTAATGCTACACACAACAAGCAGTTAGTTTCTACCTAAATATCCAAGGCACCACAAAATGCGCTTACGTGAGGAATGATGAGATCCTCCTTGATGTAGATCAGATTCTCAGCGCTAACACCACGCAACTCCGCAAACTCTGTCACCAGCTGCTGTTTGACAAACTCGAGGTACTTGCCGATCGTCGTCTTCTTTGGAACCTATCCAGAACACAACAAGGTGAAGCATTGCTTGTTAGAAATTGCACCAAAGCAGTTCAAAATACCCATCATTCCATTCGTACCGTGATCTCACGACGGTGACCAGAGCCATCCCAGTAGCTGTAGGTCACGGCAACATCCTCATCTGCAACACATCACAGCTATTAGCGATAGAACAATAATTAAAATCCATTCGTCCAGCGATTCGTACTTTTGATGCGTTCTTGCTCTTCTTCCCACTCCGCACGGAGTCGCTGTCGTTCACGAGCCTCCTCCTTCTCCCGTTCCTTATCCGGTAAGAAATCCGTCTCCACATTCGGATTTTTTATGCTTTTCTTTACGCGTTTAGGCTGCACAGTCTCCTCCTCGTCTCCTTCATTGTCATCCATATCGAACGACAGCGGTCCCACCTTTTTGGATTTTCGTTTCTTCTTCTTTTTCGGCTCCTTCTGTTGCTCTTCCGATCTATTGCCACCAGTATCAACAGTACCAGTCCACATATTAATCCACCAGCACATTATTCTATCTTCAAAAACCGCTACAATACGCACTGCACGTCAGCACGAGAACTTTTGCGGTTCTGCAGGTCCTCGCGCTTCTTTCGAAATTCCTCCGCTGTCACCAAGCCCACCGTTTGACGCTGCGTTCACAAATGCATCAATATGAATTTAAATCAGAGAGAAATTAGCAATAAAAGGCATTATCGTCGCCAAAACATACCTTAAACTCGCTCTCGTCGTCGTCCTGATGCGACTGGAAGTTGGCGTCGATGCGGGTTCCTCGGCGGTTGGTCTTCTCGATGTCCTGGCGCTTGGCTTCGTACTCCTTCTGCTGCTTCTCTCGCTGCTTGGTCAGCTTCGCAGCCCTGGATCCGGCCACATTGCCCTCCACTGTGTGTGCACCCGACGACCCATAGCGCTCGATGCCCGTCATGCTTGTTTGTTAGAGCTCTTCGAGGACACTTGACCTCAACTAAGCACGAATAATACATTTCCCACGTAAGTACGAAGTTGAGACTCTCAGCTTCGTACTTACGTGGGAAATGTAGTTTTGAGAGTACAAGAATCACGATGCTACGGAGACTCAAGGCTTCCTCGGACGCGTACGTCTCCTCGCCTGCTGGGGCCCACAGCAGCTTATAGTAGTAGTAGTAGTAGTAGTACATCACGACGCAATGGAGAATAAGGTCGTAACTCCTGTATCGTCGTTTCTATCGATTTTGCAGCTCGCAGCCGTCGCCGACCCAGACGTTGGATGATGCCCAGACTCCTAGCGATCAAAACAACAGCGAAGGTCCCATGTCATCGCTGCAGAAATACCGATCGCAGACGATGAAGGACTATGGACTGATGATCGAGTACAAACATCTGCGCCAGCACGTGCCCAGTGGTATCTACGTCCTGCCAAGCTTCGACCACTCGCGTATCTGGTACGGGGCCATCTTCATTCACGCCGGACTCTATCGCAATGGCATTTTCAAGTTCACCATCTTCCTACCCGAGAGGTAAAGGCTGTGAATGCTTGTCATTGCACAGGACGGTGGAGAAATTGACAGACGATGTTGCCTGTAGCTACAATGGACCGGGCACGTATCCTCGCATCGTGTTCAACACCAGCATCTTCCATCCATACGTGTATGAGGACACGAAGGAGCTAGATCTGAAGCCGAAATTCCCTGAATGGGACCCAGAGCTGCACTACATGGTTGCAGTACTCACCTACCTCAAGGGCATTTTCTACATGAAGGACTTCCCTGACTTGCCTCAAGTTGCGAATGGCGTCGCGTTGGATATGTACGTCTGCGATATTGCTTGGAGTATGAGGATGGATCGCTTACTGATGCTGTTATTGCGACTGGGTTGAACAGGTTCAGACATGACCCGGAGAATTATGTGAACAAAGTGGAGGAGTGTGTCGATGAGTCGCTTACGAACGTTTACAACAACGAACAGGGCTCAACGATTCGCTTCACTAAGCACAACCCGGCTCATGACAATCTTCGGCAGGAACTCTTTGCACAGTTGGATGCAACGCCGGTAAGCCTCGTATTTTACAACCTGAATTCATCGTGTAGATTAGCATCTGATCAAGTGTTTAATCTATTGCCAATGCAGCCAGCAACACCGCAAACTCTCGAGGAGAAGATAGCCGCTCCACCTTCGACTCGGTCGTTGTCCATCGTAACGGCCGCCGCAGCGGAAAGTGCTTCTGGCCAAGCCGCTGCCGCCTCTGCAGCACCCGCAGATGAACCAATGCCAGACACGTTTGAAGAGTAAATACCGGTAGGGATACGTAAGATGGAAATCTAGCCTCATGTTGAAGCACAATTTTATCTTTTGGTATTGACAAAAATGTTTTACTGCAAATCACAAAAACCGCCCAATCGGGTGATACAGTGGTGCACCTCGTTTTCGACAGGGTGGACCATATAGAGTCTGCCAACGGCGAAAATTTATGCAGGAACGCAGATGGGCCAATTGTACTGTTTTTTATTACGTTAATTCAGTATAAATCTCAGCCCATCTTTTACACGATATTCCACTGAGACTCCAGCAGTTTCTAAATATCGTCTAGTTTTTTGTTTTCGCCTCTGCTTGTCAGCGAGACTTAGCGTAGAATAGGCGGAGGGGCGACGTGCCATGGTATGATACAGCAAAAAATAAAGTAAGCTTCAGTATTTACTCGTCTGTTCGGTAGAGTGAGGTCGCTGCGGCGCGACGTGTCATCCCTCCGGGAAAACCATTGAGGTTAATTCAGCCAACGGTGATGGGCAAACGATTTGCGCAAAGCACTGAGCGTAATCATCAAATTATGAAGGTTATAGAGGCATACCCGTGTCGAAAACGAGGTGCACCACTGTATTTCAAAAGGAAACTTCCCAATTCGTGAATTTTTTGCTTCTCCAGGTAATAGAAGCTCAAGAGATGCCCGCAGCCATGGCGAGTGACGCAGGGCTGGGCTCCAAGGAGGACGATGCGCGGCTGAACGAGCGTATCTCCAAGGCGCGTTCGGAGCTCTCGGAGCTTCACAAGATCATGGCCAAGGATGACCGTGACCGCCAGTTCTGCGAGAGCAATGGACCTGCCTCACGCACTCGAAGTCGCACAGCCGGGAGCAGCTCCAACACACAGCAGGACATCAAGGACGTAGGCTACCACACGTCACAGCCGCTGCGTAGCGCTTCAGGTGAACGACTCATGCAGCTGTCACGCACAGAAGAGGTTGTACGCTCGGACCGCATGAAGATGGCGGAGCTCTCGGACGAGCAGCACGCTTGGGCGACCGCAGAGAAGAAAACAGCAGTTCCACGAGCGAGGACGAGCCCGGTGAACAGGGTGCAAGCTAGCACGACGCCGCGCCGCACGACGGCCAAGGACTTGAGAGATTATTCCACAGACTACGTGCAGCAAGCGCTGAACTTTGACAATGTCACGGACGATGACGAAGACGACGCTGTGTCACCCACACGACCAAAATCTGGCAGTATGAGACGACTTGGTGAAGATGTAGGACGAGATTTTGGCCAGGAACGTGCAGGAGAATACGGAGGAGCGAGAACGCAGCAGGATCTACACACATACGTGCGGCAGATGGAGGAAACCATCGCACAACTTGTACAACAGAAGGACGAACTGATGAGGAACCAAGCGGAGTTTGATAAGCAGGCGAGCGGTATCTTCCCGTCGCTGGAGAACTTAAACCACCAGCTCTCACAGATCGTGCAGGGCAAGCTACTGCAGTCGGGACAGTCGCATAATAACGATGATGTTGCTAATCTGCACGAAGATATGCTGGATGAGTTGCGGGTTCAACGAGAGCAGTTGAGCGAGCTTGAGGCTGACAGCAAGCGCCGCAAATATGATGCAGAGCTGCAGGAACAGAACCGCGCTATTGAGATCTCGCAGATTAAAGCTGACATTATCAGTGTTGTGGCTAGTGAAAAAATGCGCGACGAACGCACTGAGCTGATGGCTGATTCACTCAAGAAGCTCCAGCAGGAACTTCAAGAGGCGGTTAAGAATATGGTGCAGCGCTATCAGCTGCTGGACAAGCGGATCAACCAGCTCCAGACACCCATGACCCAACCCCGACTTGTGGTACGTATTGCTTGGCTTTCTCAGTGCAGCAATTTGACTAACATTTTATGGTTTCTTGGTGTGAAAAGGGCCGCAAGTCGCAGCGGAACATCCTGCTTTTCGTTGTTGCACTGTTGTTGGCCTTCGTTTCTGTTGTACTCGGCTTTCTCTTCATGAATACCGGTAGCGGAGACTGTGGTGTGATGGAGCGGTGCCACCCACTCATATAATACTCATCCAGATTCTACGTTCCTCCTTTATAACGAGACATCAGCTATTCTATTCTTCTGATAGCGTTAACTCATTTGTTTATCGTGCCTGCCAATGCAGTTAAACAGTGCGTTACCCAAACGGTCTTGGTGTAGGTAGCGTAGCCTACAGCCAGTAAGAGATCTCTATCCCTGCTTCACTTTGAAGATGCGAATACCGAGGATTGTGGCGAGCTCCGTTGAGAGGAAGTAGATCATGTGCACATAAGCCGACAGCGAGATCACGAAGAAGAGCTGCACCACAGAGCTCTCATGGCCCTGCGTAACGCAAACGATCAAACAGTTAGATAATTCATAAGGTGCTAGCCCATTCAGCTCGAGACAAACGTACCCAAGGCACAATGCCAGCCACCAGGAGGAAAGAAACAACAAGCTGGATCATGAATGTCTTGCGTAACAGCCAATACGGTTCTTCGCACATGTGCGAGAGCATCATGTGCATCACCATCTGCAACAAAGAACGCAGTAGCTTCAGTTAGAAGGTTGTTACTTTAACCAAAGACCACAGTTCAAAGATGTATGCTTACCTTTGCGAATACGAGCCCCACCGTCCAGATGAGGAGACGTGGGTGGTCCGTAAACACATCAGAAGGCGACCAAAACACCCAAAGTGCAGACAGCAGAATGAGTGCGATAAAAGGCGTGATGCCGACCAACGCCGCAGCGCCATCCTTCGCCTTGCGTTCCATGGAGCGGATGGCAACCACAGCTGCACAAAAAAGCATTAAACCTTGCACAAAGCCAAAGTAATCTACACAAATACCGAAGACTCACCACTGAAAAGGCATTGTCCGACAGCACTAGTGATCGTGATCAGGACGAACACGTGGTTGTTGTTCAGTTGAGGGAAGAGGATGTTCGGCTGCGTCCACACATTCGGGCCAACGATAGCCGTGACGATGTAGATCGAGTACATGATCAGCAAGCCTTCGTTGGGTCCGTTAATGATTGGAAGCGCCAGTGTACCAGTGTAGTATTCCTCCCACGTCGCCATAAAAAACACCATAGCCGGCGCGAGAAAAATCAACAGCGACTAGCGAAAGAAACCCCACCGAAATCAACGTGTCAGTCGCATTGAGCCCCTCGACTACTTCGTAGTAGAACAAAAACTTACCCAATACGTTGGTCCAAGCATAATTGTCGACGCAAATGTACATGCACTGACAACCACGTTGAGTGCATCGCATCCGTGATCGAACAACAATCCCAGTGGCGACGAGTTGCCTGTCTTGCGTGCTTGCTTGCCGTCTGCCACGTCCAAAATCTGGTAGAACAGTAGCGACAAGCCCGCATTAGCGTAGACCCATCGCGGCGCCTCCTCCACCATGTTCGGCGAGTAGCTGCAGCAACCCCCCAGTCAGTCTACGTTATTGCATCAATCGCCTTGCGTAGCGCCTTACCAGAGCATAATCACGTGCGACAGGATGACGAGCGATAGCGCCCCGATCGTGATGGCGTTGGGAGCTAGTCGCGGCGACAGCACGTGGTCCACGAGCCATTGGGCCAGCGGAGAGATCACGTTGTTGTACAGGAGCGACGCGTCACTGCCGCTGTAGCGGTAAGCCAATATGTGCTTCACGCCATCCTCCGTGACGTAGCGGTAGTTCTGCGGCTTGGTCTCAGGCTCCGGTTGGGGTTTGATAGTCTCGGTTTCGTCCTCCTTTGGGGTGGACTTCGCAGCAGCAGCGGCAGACCTCGTGAGCACCATCTTTGGACCAAGCGCGTATCTTGAATTGTGTATGTCTTTCTTATCGCCAGTTAATTCATATAAGTGCGATTTTCGACGTCTTTTGGTGGCAGAAAATGTGATGGAAAGGTCACCGAACCACTTTCACCACATAAAATGGTGTAGATGGTGTGGCGGTGGATCTCAAAGCGTCGCGTCTCAAGGTCACATGTGCGGAGCAAATGACGCAGTATGTCTCCATGGCGACTGCCTCGTGGAGGCAGTAAACGGAGCTGCATACGAACATTGTCAGTGCTATGCTATGTACTCTGGCTCGCAGTGCAGTTTCCGAGGAGAATTGCTGTACTGGGAGCTGCCTGTGGCTTGCGCAATGATGCTCATCCTGCTGGGAATTGGTGCCATTGTGACTGGCAGGACGCTCGAGTGGTTGCGCTTCCAACAAGCTAAAAGAGATCCATTTACGTTTCCGCGAAACTGGAAGGACTCACCGGGGTTATCATTTCTGGATCAGCTGCTGCGTGGCAAGTGGGCAGGACCGACGCGAAAGGGATTACCGACGAAACCCGCTAGGGGTCACATTCTAGAGAACGCTTTCATCTTTATCTTGATCTTCTTGGAATTTCTACCTTGGATACAAGTGGTAGCGTTGGCGTTCTTACCTGTGGTGCCGTGGCCGAAAGAAAGTCGACGAATAGCTGAGATATTGCGACTCTCGGTGCTGTATCCGTTGTGGAATCACTCCGAGCCGAGCCAGTTCCCAAGATTCATGCTGTGCCTGTCGTTGGGATTCGTTCCTGGAGTTTTGTTGATTGCGTGTATCCTCGGTGTAAAGCGTTTCCCGTTGTTCAAGCCGCAGCCTAAGAGCTCGCCTGCTGAGGACTTGTGCACGCTTGTGCTGCGTTTGTATAGTGAATACCTCACTTTGCCCGTAATGATAGGGCTGCTGCTGCCCTTGGAGTGTGGAATTATTGGATATAGCAAGGTCGAAGGCTCTAAAATGACCCTACCATCACTAAATGGATCGTGCTTCACACTTTTGCAAGGTGGAATGGTTGCAGCCGGTACGATCATACTCATTTTGTACTGCATCGCAAGTTCTGTCGTCGTGATTCAGCTGAACTGCGAGTCATCACCGCCTGTGCCAACACTATGGACACACGTGCGCTATAAGCGAGTTGCGCATGCCCTCAAAGCGCCACTTGCCATGGTATCAGATGGATAGCGAATAGAATTACTGTATGCTGGTCGGAGCTAATGTGTGCACTTCGCTCATTTTCCCTGTAGAGCGTCGTGGGCTCAGTAAATGCCAATGCGCTACTGCTATGTGGAAGCTGCATGTTGGTCTCGTAAGTGCTGACGCTCTGATCATCAAGAATTGTGACACGAATGCGAATTCTAAGTCATCTTTGCGAGGTTGCAGGCTGATTCTTGGTATCATGAATGCAAAGCTGAAGCCCTGCTTGCTTTCGCTTGTGAGATCGAATTTATTAGCAGTGGCTTTATTTATATGCCATTCTGATGTAGTCTGTGTGGTGTTGCTCAGGTCAATGGTATTCGCCTGGCAGGCGCGGCAATGGCGTTTTGGACCAGTACTCTCGCGCTTGTTACCTCTATCATCGATGACCCTGGCTCATCGATCTTGTATGAGGTACGATCAAAAATGTTTTGTTTTTTTTTAACTTAAGAACACAAGCGTATTCTTCATTCTGTGCACTTACGCAGGCTTGGTCCCTGGGAGCTATCGCGATTTCGGGAATATCCCTTCCAGGTTTGTTCCTATACCATACCGAGGACTTCTGGCTTCAGCTTGCCTCGGCTGCCAAGGAGTTCGGGTCACTTGCAGCAGCCTCAAACGACCCCAAAAGAGCCAAGGTGGCCGGTATCGCCGCTACTACGGGGAAAGTGGCAGCCATGGGTTTTCGTGCTGGCGTTCCAAAGTTCTTACCCAGTCGGCGATCCAGTGCGGCGGAGAAGCTGCGGAGTCGGTCGAAGCGTGGGAAGTTATCGGAGACCAACTAACATCGAATTGCCTGATTCAGTGTGGCGAACTCCGCCTCGACCAGTAGCGTTGCACTTGGTGTTCCAGTTGTAGACAGGTCGGCGGCCTGATTACGAGCCTAGGAACATGTCGCGCTGTGGAGGTCCGACGTCGAACCAACATACACACAGGAATGATCTTCGGTGAAGGTTTCCTGCAGCCTTCTTCACCGTGATAGCGGTGACCACCGGGTACTGGCAGCTCGAGCAAGTTGCCTCGCTGGGTATTTGATGCGAATGGTAGGCAGGTATCAGCGAAACCCCATCTCGTTGGGTCGGACTCTACTTTAAGTGGCAACGCGCGTAAACGTCCGCCGTCAACAATGGCAGCTGCGGCGCTTGTGTCACAACTTCAAACTCACGGAATTCGTAACTTGAAATTCATAAAGTTCCTGACATGCACGGTTCATAGTTTTCTGGAGCGAAGGTGTTGGTTGACAAGCAGGGTAATGGCGATGGCAATTCAGGCAATGAAGCCAACTCGGTTGCCGCCTGAGGAAACAACAAGACGCTTTTGGGCACTTCAATCCACTTGGCAGCGTGCCATTGGGTGTGCTGGAACATCGACAAGTTCTGGCGGCGCTGGCGATGGTGACGGCATTTAGAATGTCATCGTCGTCGCTACGGATAGTCTGGCAGCACCGAAATGGCTCCGTCAGAATGCGCTGCCCAAACTTCCTCGAGCTAAAACCTTCGTCGATTGTGGGACGGAGAACTTAGATAAACCACCTGGCCATCATCAAATCGACTCAAATCTGCATTCCTCGATTGCCAAATGAAGCACTTCGACGTATTACGGAGCCAGCTTGCACTTTACCGTCGTGTGTTGGGTGGAATCAACAGGTTGTATGCTCTTTATGCAAAAGTCGCCTTCAATAAACTGTTGCAGCATTTGCATTCAACACGAGCAGACATGGCTACGGTTGTTGAGACCACGAGCGTAGATTCTTCGCCGCTGCCGATATCTATCTATTTCTCTATTTCCAATGCAACAGTTCAGCACACACACACATATAATAGCTGCGAGCGCGTTGATTGCTCGGTGACATATATTTCACCACCAACCTCGAAGTCCGAGTATTTCAGTTTTCGCTCGCGATGCTTGCGCCTCTGATGACATCTTATCCGATTTACCAGTCTTTTGAATCCTTTTATCGACTTTATGTCTCCAATTAATAACTCTCTCTCCCTTACTCAAAACAAGCTTATCAGCCTAAAATATCCCCAAACCTTTGATTTACCTATAAATAGAGGCATGCATGTCACGGAATTGCCTCGCTTCCCAGCCCTAGAGTACGTATCCTATGCGACACTTCCTCAGGGTGAAAAACTCGAGGCTGCCAGACCTCATTTCGAGATTACGCCGGTAGTGAGGAAACGGTTTCCGCGAGCAGGTATGGCAATACCCACTGTCGACGTCAAGACCGACGAAGAAATGTACGGCTCCACGATAAATGTGTCGTCCAAGGGCATGACGCACCGTAACGGCTCGCGCTCCAACTCGCCCGTGAGCAGCGGCGACGAGCAGTCGGACACCATGAAGCTCGCACCCAAGAACTCGTCGCCTACAGCCGCCCCCGTTTTCTCCAAGGAGGCGCCACCACATGAGACGGTGTGGGAGCGCTACCACAAGGCCACATGCACCAAGATGTACGACGTGGAGGAGCTCATCGACTACTACTGGCACCGACGGTTGGCCGCCGTGCCCGCGGTGATCGTGAGTTACCTGCCATTTATGATCACCCCCAACCAGATCACGATCTTTGGGCTGTTCCTCGGCTGGGCCGCCGCCTTGTGTCTGTACGACTCGGAGTTCCACTACCCGCTGGCCTGGGAGCCCTCGCACTCGCTGCTGGCCGCCGCGCTGTTCATGTTCACGTGGATCGTCTCAGACTGCACGGACGGACAGGTCGCGCGTCTCTGCAAGCGCGGCACCCGTACAGGTCGCATCTTGGACGGCGTCGTGGATGGTCTAGTGATCGCTCCCAACTTCTGGATCATGGGCGAAGTCATGCAGCACCACTATGGCGGCAATGTCATGTACTTCCACCTTTGCTTCTGGGCGGGTATGTCGCTCTGGTTGCACGCCATCATTTACGACAAGATCAAGAACGTCTACATGGAGAACGCCCTCCCACAGTCCGAATGCGATGGTGAAACGGTCGCTAGTGTGCGTGCCGAGTACCGTGCTGCTCGCAAGCAGTCGGCCTGCGCTCTGGACACGATCCTACTTGGCATCTACTCGGTGTACTTGACTGTCCAGGCCAGTTTCACGTCCGATGCCGCCTCCCAGGCGGAACTGGACCGTCAGGCTCTGCTCGCGTCATGCACTAGTGAGTATCACAATGCTTACCGCCAAAAGTTCGGCGGACTCGTGCGCGTGGCGTCGTTCCTCGGCATCAGCGCCCACGTTACTGCAGTCTATCTGGCCTACTTCCTGGCCATATTCGACTGGGACGTCATCTTCTACATGCAGTTCTACCCGCTCGTCCTGCTCAACATCGTCCTAATTGGCGTGCTCATTCAGTACCAACGTACCGGTATGGCTACATTCACACCCAAAGACGGTGGATTCTAAGTCTTTAGGAGTGCACCTGGCTAGACGCTGCAGTGACCAAGCGTGCTTGGCTATAAGCGAGAGGATCCGCTACAGTACACGTCCAGCCAGCGAGTAGCAATGTAGATATCGATCCTAGCAACCTGCAAGCCCCATGAATGTATGCTTACTCTTTATCATCGAGCCATTCCCTTGTTATTATTTAGCGTCTACGATCACCGCTTGCCCATGCTGAACAGCACGGGAAAATTCATTCGACTGGGGATGGCAATGGAGAAGAAGAGCAGGAACACAAGCCCCAGTGCTTGTACAAAGTACAGCAGACTCTGGTCGAACGGGAACGCCTGCTCAAAGTATCCCAGCAGTGCAAACAGCGCTGGCGCTGCCCCACTCGCGATGAAATGACTGAAGTAGCGCACGCGTTGTGCTGCCCGATGCACTGCTAGTCGTCTATCCACAGCGATGGAGTTGTCCAGCAACGCCATGATGCCATGTGACGCCACACCGGCAACAAGTTGCTTCAACACGAGTACACCGACTACCATAAACCACGCAAAAGGTAGTTCATCCACTTTAAACAGATCGATGAGCGGGAAGCAACCCAGAATGGGGATCTGGAGAATCAAACCGATACGCAGCGTAGCGAGAGGCGTCATAGAGTTGCGAGCCGAATTGCACACCACATTCGACGCAAGTTGACCCAATAGGACGACCAACGACAGAGATGCCAATGTCCCGGCGACAGTGAGTGTGATAGACGACACTGTAGAGCGCGACGACGGTGGCTCAGCGTGCACACTACCGCCCAATGTAATTGGATTCTGCTTGAAGAACCAAAGCGGAAGCATCTCGTCGAAACTGAGCTGCACAAGGGACCAGAAGAAGAATACCAGCAGTACCAGACAAGCTAGAGGTTCACTTGTGATCGCCAGTTCGGGTACAGGATTGTCGACTGCTTTCGGAGACGGTCGAGTGGGTTTTACAGGCTTTTTCTCTAGTGGTTGATACGCTCCAGAGCTTGCAGCATTAGTTCTCGCAACAGGCTCAGTCTTCGGAGATGGAGTTGACTGCGAGTGGACAACCACAGAGATCACTGGCTCCTGGTCTTCCAAGTCTTCAACGCCTTGAAGTCCGTACTCGGAACAGTCAAAGAAAGCCTCTTCGTCACTTCCATCATCACTGCGGATACTGCTTGCACGCGATCGGGTGACACTTGTGCGTCGCGACCGTGGAGTAGCAACAATTTCAAGTGTACGCTCCAATGACCCTGTAGTACGCTTAAGCAGGTCGTCCAGAGAGCGTTCCTGCGCGCTTTTGCCAATCTCCACACCGTTGCGTCCGCCGTAACGTTGAGGCAAACTGTCGACGCCGACAAGTGCAATTAAATCTTGAGTGGCCGTCTCCTTAGACAAGAACGATACTTTGTCTGCTGTACGCTTCGCCAAGTGGGGACGAATACTCGTCATTACTTGAGAAAACCATACGGGGGAGTTGAGAACCGCAAGAGTTTGTAGTCGATCAGGTAACTCGCGTTGCAGTGTCTTCACTACCGCACAAACTCCATCAACTGCACGAGCGTCGGCATCACGAAGCGAGAGGCCATCCAGATCCACAATATACACGATCTTCTGCGTAGGTGTTCGCAGCAACGTCTCCTGTGCAAAAACCAGGAAGAATCTGTAATGGTCACGTAAATCTGAGGTCGTAAAACCCGCAGCGAAGAGTTTGTCCATCTTGACACGACCAACGAAGTCCCAGACGATCAAATGTCCGTCCGATGTGTAGCCGTGGAAATAATGGGGCAGGATATCTCGAATAAGTCGGAAATGCGGCTGCGGCGTGGCTAATAACTTGATCGCCGCTAGTTTCGCCGGTGTCGTCATGGCTTTCTTAAAGCCTAAACCCATGGCAGTGCGTCCGAACGTCTCTCCAAACGCAGACTTGACGTGGGCGACTGTAGTGGACATGGGACTACCGCTCTCACTACTGCTTGTACTGCTTGTGTTCAGACTGGTTGACGAGCGTGGTGAAGCCTGCGCATCGATCTGGATCTGCGGCATAAAGTTGAGAAAGTCATCTTCCTCCTCCGCGAGCTGCGTGTACGCTGTCCGGCTACGTAGACGCAGTCCCAGTAGCATCACCATGACTGCAATCCACGCGAGAATCGACACGAAACAGAACGGATAGAGGTACAAGGACGAGTCTCTTGTCGCGGGGTCCTCGTTCGATTTGTCCGGAAACTTCGCACTAAGCGTGATGAAGGCGAAAGTGCCAATAGCTCCAATCCCCACGCCCAAAGTCTTGGTTACCAGTGCTAGTTTGGTTTGTCTGTTGCCACAGATATTGTCAATCTCAATTAGAGCAACAGGCAACACGCCACTGCTGAGGCCAGTCGCGAACCGCACGAGCGACATGGCTACCAGGCTCTTGCACAATAGTAAGCTGAAGAACCCAGCCCCCGTGACTGCCAGTCCCCATAAAATTACGCCCTTGCTGCTTTTTAGAGAGCGCGCCAAATTGATCCAGAAGCCGCAGCTTAGTGCGTGACCAAGGAAGCCTGAGCCGGAGATGATAGCCGTATAGAAGCCAAGACGATGGAACGACGTCTCCGGGTAGAAATGCAGCGTCAGCATCGGCCCCAGCACCAACACTACAGTCTGCGCGATGTACTCGATCATGGCACATGCTGTGAGGAACAACATACGAGCGTTGACACCTCGGCAGCAACCGAAACACCCCATCGCTGCTGAGAACCTTAGTCTTGACTGTTGTCGGTCGATTCAGACGCTACGACGCTGATGAAAATACCTCTGTGCAGATTAGACGACGGCCCTGCACAATGTAGTGGTGAGATCCCTTGCTGGACGGCACGAACAGAGCCGCAAAAGTAGCAAGAAGGCGGCGGTTCGCTTACTGTCCTGCTGGGAGAGGACGTCAGTGAGCTGGCGATACTACGGTACCGGTATTGCTTGGTGACTTGTGATTGGCTTAAAAACAACAGTGGGATTAACATTCGGTTGTATGAGTGTGGTGCACACGAACCTTGTAAGTTGAAGTCTTCAAAATATTTCTAAACCATGTTGTATCACTGTACATCCATTATTCGAGCTCAGTGCAATTGCAAGTTGCAAATGAAGGTGCAATTCATGTTGATGTCCTTACAAAGTCTTTTAGCCGTGGTGATGAATGCGAGATCTTCCAGTTTCGATAAAACTTAGTCAACAGTCCATGGAAGGAAAAAAACTACATCGTCACTTTTTGTGCAACCCTAAAAACTGATCTCGATAGCACAATCAAAATAGCATTGGTGATGAAGCTTCTATCTTGTTAAAGTGAGCTCGAGTGTATACCATGGGTCTCTGCCGACGAATCATCAGCGCGTGGGACGCCATCCAAATCGAACTCAAAGGCACCTATTCCCCTGATCGCGTCCTCGCCCTGCATGACTATACCAACTCGACTCCCTGGTGGCGGAT